AGTTTCCAATGCACCTACACACCACAAAACATCATTAAGGATAGTCCAGTCTTCTTATGCCTGTTATGTCTTTCCAAGATCAAGGAACTGTATCTCAAAGTTACACAGATTCCTACTTTTCACGGGTTGCTACTTTTGGAAATGAGATTTCTGAAGAAAGACTTGCAGTACATGCTAGCATGGGCAAAGCTTGAATGTGTTCTACTTGAGAGGATTTCACCAACAAAACTGCGTAGAGGAAGGAACGATCTATGTGCACAAATGTGACCGGTTCTAGAAAAATGGGTAATAAGTCGCCAGTTTCAGGTTATGAGTTTGTGATATGACTGGATTGAGTACATCAAAAGCTACAATTTGATATATGAATGACCCCTGTAGTGCACTGCATTCCAGAGATATTTAGACATTTGTATACACATTTTCGGATTCAATAAAGGCACTTTTCAAGAAAAAGCTCAGAAAGTGTCGCGCTTAGAAACACAATGCTACGTAGGATTTCCTACTGAATGATCCATTTTTCATCTTTATTCATCAGTATCCATGTTTGTAGTCACAAATTCTGAAATAGAAATATTATAGAAGCTATTCAAGGAAAAAACATTTTTGAAGAAATTTTGGCCTCTCCACATAGAACAGGCCATTCTGTGATTTGGCATTGCACCACTTATTACCCTTTTTTTGCAGAGCGGGTCACAAATGATAAAAGACAGAAAGCTTTGTCACATGGCAAAGTCGTCACTCGGGCTGAAATACCATGCACATGCATGTATGGTACAGAATATAAATGTGTGACACAGGCAATTTTCATCTTATGAAAATCTGGAAAAAGAAGATCTCTGTTTGAGGTAGCCATTGTTCATCTGATTCAGCCTGGCCAACCGACCCCTGGTGAGCTGCACTTGGAAGCAGGAGGTTGTGGGTTTGAGTCCAACACGAGTGAGGTAATGAATTTTGTTATGAGCCCCCCGACAACTCTGTTTACATGGTGTTTATCAAAAAACCTACAACTGAGGTTTTTATATCAAAATAAATAGGGTCTTCACGATGGGTTGGCATCCAATTCCTGGCTGAGACTTTCTCTATATCATCAACGAGGGAGCCCTTGTGCTCAGAACCCACAGACACCATTGTGCTTGCCTGGCACTGACCTGCTGATGTTATCAGCGCAGTAGGTGAAGATGGCCTCCTTGGTGATGAGCCGATTGGTTCGTCTCATCTCCACCAGCACGTGGGTCATCCAGTCTTCCACCCGCCCCTCGGCTGGAATGGCCTGACGGAACTCCATCACCTCTCCCTCGGCCGATATCATGGCGGTCACCAGAGTCTCCCGGTTATTGCCTTCTTGTAGGCGCAGCGAGGCGATGTTATCGTACATCTGAGTGTCAAGTAGGGCAGGGAGAACAGAAAGTCAGGTGATGGGGTTGAAAGTTATTTCAAGGGAAAATAGGAGAACAGGGCTGGTAAGCAAAATTGAAAGAAGACTGATTTGCTAACCAAACAATTAGAGACCTAATCGCAAGCAAGATATTCTGGTCAGTAATCTGTTTTTTGCTGAGCAAACTTTCAATGCTTTCGTGGGGAATTTCTGTTCATCGGCTTTGTTAAATTGGCACAGCAGAGAGCAAGTCTGCAAACAGAAATATGGCTAAGAGATACCAGGGCTGAAACTGGAGGCTGAAGACAAGTCCAACGCACATCCACCAGGGGCTCTAAATAGCTAACAGGCATGAGTTCTCTCCCAATTGGTGATGACTGAGTGAATCCTGTACTTGGGATTTCAACCATTGTATCATAGCAACAAAATCCAAAAAAGTAGCCCAGAAAAATAAAAAATGTTGGGGCCAAAAAATCCTTGAAATCCAGCCCAAAACACTGAAAAATCCCCAAAGATAGTTTAACTGACCTTGATGATGTGCTCTTGGACGCAGGACGGATCGCTGCTTCCCAGGATGGAGAGGAGCTCGTCGTCAGAGATGAAGAAGAACCTGGGGAAGGCGTTCCTCTTGGAGTCTAGGTAATCGTTTAGGCTCTTCTGGCATCGCTCCAGGCCTGTGCTGATCATTTCCAGATCTTGGAGACGGTTAGGGGCGTGGCAGGAATCCTTGATGCGCGGGTTGGACGCTGTGTCTTGCATGATCTGTAAACAACCACAACGAAATTAAATGAACCCAAGCACTTCTAAAAAGGTTAAGGGTATTTTCAACTGCAACTATACCCTTTTGAGAAACACAGCTCAAAGTTTTGATCTGCATACTTAGTATTCTTACAAATTAGTCATTCGGGAGATATTTTGTGATAAATTTTTCAACCTTAGGGAGACATCGGTCATTAGGGAGACATTTCAATGTCTCCCTAATGCCCCACCTACCAGAGGAAGGCCTAATTTTACCGTTCAAATTTTGAGAGATGATAGATTAAGGTCTAAATTGAAAACATACAAAGTTTGGTTCAGATCAGATTAGGGAATATTTAATTATGGGACAGTTTGTCCATGATCTTAGGGGAATGTCTCCCAAGTGACCCATTTTCATTAAACAGTATAACATTTAAGATTACTGACAACAGTCAAAGTGCAGACTGGCTCGTGCATGGCACAAAAAAGCCACTGTGCCGTTAACAAGCATTCTCCAAATGAATATACTCTTACTGTAGAATACCAATTCACTGGTTCCTAGAAGATGACTCCCAATATGAACCTTTGACTTTGATTACCAGTTCACTGGTTCCTAGAAGATGACTCCCAATATGAACCTTTAACTTTGCATCAACTACACATGTCCTCATGTGTACCCATGCTGATATGGACAAACCACTCCGATCCACATATTTCAAGGAGGTGTTTAAGAAGCTAACCTTCTTGAAGGTCTTGTCGATGGCATCAAATTTCTTGGCCTCTTCCGGAAGCTGAGACCTGATATCGCCACCGATGAAGATGCTTTCTAGGTACATCCACTTACGTTGCACCACCATCCACACCTGGGGAAACATCAGTAAAGACCACGTAATATTTGTCCTTTTTAAACCTTCAGTCAGTTTCTGTCTGCCAAGTCCAAATTCATGTTAAGTCAATTAAAAAAAGCCCTATTGTTTATTGTGTGGCTTCCGCTAAGCAGATATGTTTATGTTAAGCAGATACTGCACTTGCTCAATAAAATTGTAGCAGTTCATTAGAAAATCTTATGCTGTGTCCAAAAGTCATGGCTAATGCTAAAAATGATGCACCTGCCTATGGAAGCCATTAGATAGTGGCTGTAGCCACTTCCCATAGAAATGTGTGTCACCTAGCTGTAGCCAATAAATTCCAACATGGCCTCACCTCCAAGACTTCCCCAATCAGTGATAGGCTTTTCTCCCAGGTCTGAACCGTGTTCAGGAACGGCCCGATGAACCGCGAGGCCGACATGCTCTGTAGGTTCATAGCATTGTCGTCCAGAATCTGCATGACCTCGTCTACTGACCCCAGGATGTAGCCTCGCTCCTGGGTCCCCTTCATGTACTTGTTGACGCTGAACTTCATGCTCTCCCAGACGTCGTTAACCTCCTTGATGCCCTGTGACAAGAAAAGGTCAGTTTTAAATGCTCAGAATTTTGATACCATAAAAGAAAGTCAAAAACTTTCTGCGCGTCAGGGTTAATGTAATTTGTGAACAAAAATTTTCCTTTGAGAATCAACTTCTTTTTTATGCTATAATTAAATTACTTTGATTAGATCATTAACACACACTAGAACAGACACTGAAATGGACCAACAGACTTTAATGAAGTGAACTGAAAATTGGCATGAATTACAATACATGATTGGCAATGGCATCTTCGTCGGAATGAGCACAAATATGAACTCTCACCTTTTCAATACTCAATTCCTTGGAGGCACTGGTAACTATGTCGCCGATCACGTCCTTGAAGTTGTGTAGCTCCATAGCAAAGAGGTTCTCCAGCGTGAACGTGTCTGGGTTCATGTCGAAGGACTTACCCGTCTTGTTCATCAGTTCCTTCCAGTGTCTGGGTAGGGGTCAAGAGGTCAAAAGGACAAAGGTTATAGCAGCTGAAGGACAAGGTCCATATATGCTCTTTTACTATTGTGCAGATGTTGAAGAGCTCAAATATGTTTACTCTAAATGAATGTCTGCCTGAAATAAAGGTTCACAGGGTCTACAAACTCGGCAAACAAATAGTAGAACTTTATTGGTGTCTGGTACCAAGTTTTATAAAATGAAACCCTCTACTTCATCATTTCCACTAGAAACTGTTTAAAATTCTCTACTGGGCAGGAAATCAATGACACGTTCTTTGTACTTCAACTTTCAAGGGCCATCAAATCCCATGTAAAGTAACAGTGGCTGGGCTCTACCTTCCTTAATCCTACAAAAGCCCCTCAGACTTGTGTCAAATTTTGCAGGCTACGGGTGGGGTTCAGCGCAACCATGTCATGCCTTTCCAGACCAGTGATATTATGATGGGCACATCTCAAATCATACCCGAGCCCTGTGCAGCTTGGGAGGTAACTCAGTGAGCTATTAATCCTTGGAACTCCTCTTGTGCTCCATAGAGTAGTTCAGAGACCAGACTTGGAAGCAATTGCTGAACTGGACTCTTGTTTGTGGACAAGTGGTATTTTGGATGAATCAACAGGTCCTGACCTTTCTCGAAGTGCCTCGTTCTTGAGATCCACAAACAGCGGGATGGAATCTTTAAATTCCTTCATTCTCCCCTCCACCATGTGAGCTGTGGAGGTGCTCTTGACTTCCCTGGGTAGCTTCTTGAGGTTCTTGATGTAGGTGTCAATGCCTTCAACCAGGTGGTTGACATTGAGGTTGGCCCACAGGGTCTGGGCCCACTCCTCGCGAGCGGCCTGGGGGAGGAGAGTTTCACAAGATTATTTGTGACCCAATCGAGTAAAATAAATTGCAAGTTGCCTAGGCCACTTTAAGGTTAAATATCTCCAAAAGAATCAATCAATGGGCTCTGAGCTGGACCTAGAGAGGGTCCAATCATGTCATCAATGGAGGCTCCTTTGGTAGCAACTGCATGTCACTGGTTCACGAATGACTATGAAACACAGGTGTTGCAGTTGCATCGCTACAAGCAAAATGAACACTCCTGACCTACATAACTCTTTTCAACCAATGAGGGGGTGCTTCTGCTCAGACGGATAGGAACCCTCAACATTTGCACCCACATAATCCTTATTTTTACCAGTTTTAATTTGTCAGTTACACACCAAACAGACAGCTAAACCACAAAATAAAGAATTTTAAGCAGCTAGAGTTAACAGAAGCAGATTGAATTTCTGTAGCTGGAACGCAAACAGTTATCCCCCAGATGGCAAAACAAGACGGTTATAACAAAGTGTGGCTTTGGTAGGTAAACGACTTGTAACAGAAGGTCTTTCATACCTTCTGCTGTTTGTAGATTTCATAGATCTTATCCAATCCGGTCATCTCTTTCTGTACTTGGAGCAGCTCGGGGTACATGGTGATGGGCAGGTCAAAGAGCTTCTCAGCATTGGCTAGCTCTTGGCGATCCTTCTCATACATGGAAAGCTCGCGCTTGAAGCTCTCTAAGATCTCAACACCTGTTTCAAAATCACGCAAGGCTGGTCAAAATCTCTGGCTGACTTCAAAAGATAATGTACTGGAGTTGCTAAAAATCGGAAATATGCTCAGCATGGGAAACATAGCCAGAACATGTTACCAGCCCAGAACTCATGGTGTACGCACTGACAGTAACTTGTCAAATTTTGCTTCACATATAAATTTGCTTAGCAGGATATTGTATTCGGCAATGCTAGGACATTAAGCCGATAAGTAACTTGTATCATATATTTATCAACAGATAAAGGTTTAACATCTTTTATATTGAGCTTAACACTTAACCCTTAAAATCACTTAACCCAAATCACAAGGGTGGGAGCCCAGCCTATTCCACCTTCTTGCTAGAGACACATCCACATACATACCCCTGTCCAGGTCATTGCCGACAGCTCCTGGGCCCTCTAGACGGAACTTGCTCTGGAAGTTGTTCAGCTCGGTGCTGAAATTGCTGATCTGGTCTTGCGTGATCTGAGGGAGGGTATGTGAAAAAAACACAGATCATTTAGTGGTACCATGCTTTGCCAACTCATAAGTTTAGGCACAAAAGCTTTGCTGTTTAGCATTGTTTGATGCTGATATTAATCTTATGATGGATACCCCACAAAACTATCAAAAGACCCCACACGATTATCACAAGACCATCACAAAGTACTAACAAGCCTACCAAAAAGACCATCTTAACAGCATCATAAGACCATGGCAAGACTGCTGCAAGATCATCACAAGGCAATCGCAAGACCAACATGAGATCATTGCAAGGTGATCACAAGACCATCACAAGACCAACATAAGATCATCACAATACAAAAGATGAATTAACACAAGACCCCTGGTCTGAAGTCACAAGCTATTCGAACGGCCTGCGACAAAAGCATTCCGTGATCAACGTGTCTCCGACTTCGCCCTCACTGGAAAGGAAAAACAATCTGCCCTGCCATGGACTCACCTCAGTGAACTTCTTCTTGACCACGATCAGGCTGGCGTCCACGTGCTTGGACTCCATGAACAGGTCGTCCCAAATCTGCTTGATGTTGCGACACAGCTCCTTCTCCTCGTCTGAGACCTCGATGCGGTACATCTGCAGGGTCCGGTAGCGCTCCAGGATGTCCTTGATTCGCATCTCCACCTCCAAGGACATGTGCTTGATGTCAGAGATGATGCGAAGGACAAACTTCAAGTCCTCCAACGTGTCAGGCGTCTTCTTGAGGTCCGTAGACAGGGTCTGTAGATTTGAAGACATTGACAGTTCCTTTAGCCATCCAAACACACCAGGGTGTGAATGAGTCGTTATAAAACCTCCCCACATTCATACATTTCCTGCGAAAATCTGGCACCGATTGTAACAAATCCTGTCAATGAAAACTTTCATCAGTCTTCCCACACTTACCGTTAGCTCTGTCTGAAGACTGTTCAAGTCCTCGCTAGCCGTGTCCTTGAGTAACGCGCCAAGTGACTCCACCCATTTCTGGGCGTGGTCTCTGACGGTGTCAGCTAGAAGTCCCATGTGGAGGCGGACGCAATCCTGGTCTTTGATCTTGGGCTGATTTTCCACCTGTTGAGAAAAAAAAAACAAGACGGCAGAAAATGCGAGTATGGTCTTAAAACAAGGTATCTCAACCACGATCTATGGGACATTATTTCAGCATGACTTTTCAGAGAAGATCCTCTGAGGCTGGCTTTCCACATATCAGGGTGAAAATGATGACAAATGATGCAACCACAAGACTGACCTCCTTGGCCAAGTTGGAGTAGAACTGGAGTTTGTCGTCGTAGGCCACACAGGTCGGTTTCTTACTGGCAAACTTCTCCAGCATGATGGTCTTATCCAGCTTCCACAGAGGACGGTATCTCTTCCACCTAAAACCAAAATGACAAACCCTTTTTATTCCTATACAGTTAACCTCGGAAGGTTTAACATTACTGGAGAATACATCTCTACTGTCCAAGATAAACTTCATATTTCAGAGGCTTAGCAAAACAGGCCATTTCAGCAAATACCTAGGATCAATAAAAAAGCCTAAATGGAGGGAGATAAATCAACCTGAACCAGATAGCTGACATTCAAGGCAGGCTGGTGCCTTTTATAGGCGTCATACACTTCCTACTCATCTTCACAACCTTCATCAGGGCACCAGACCACATAAAAGCTGGTACCTGGGATGCGGTAATTAACTCCACACTTGTCTTCACCAGATCCCTGCTGGGGACCAGACCAAGATGGCTGCCTCTTACCTGCCGAGGTACTTGTTGTGGCTGGTCAGGGTCTTCTGGATCTGGTTGGAGGCCTGCACCACCAGGTCGATGATACTGCCGTCGGCCGAGATGTCAGAGAAGAAGCTGAAGATGAACGGCTCATCTTCACCCTCAACATTCTGGGGTGGAGTCTCAATGCAAGTACCGTGCATCCAACGGATGAAGTTCTTGGTCCTGAAATCAAACAGGTGAATCAGTTCAGAGCTGCTCTGATGCTAAAGATGTTTCCATATTAAGTTGGCATGTGTATGAATATTTCACCATTAGTATAGGTGCATGAAGTGCTCATACCCTTCCAAGCACTTTTGCATGAGTTTTTGATTTTGATGACTTTGTCTGAGTATGAGTGATATTGTATGAGAATGAGTAATTTTATAAATGAGTACTTGCGATTTTTACGAGTACTTTACCACAAGCGTGAGTGCAAAAACATTTGCATTAACATGAGTCTGAGTACAAGTACTTCATTGTGAGCACAAGTACTCATGCGAGTCTGAGTAAAAGTACTTTATTGTGAGTACAAGCACTCATGCAAGTCTGAGTAAAAGTACTTCATTGTGAGCACAAGTACTCATGCGAGTCTGAGTAAAATTTCTTCATTGTGAGCACAAGTACTCATGCAAGTCTGAGTAAAAGTACTTCATTGTACTAGTAGCATGAGTACACAAATACTTGAGTATAAGTATTTCATAATGGAATCATTTATTTTTTACTGATGCAGCAAATAAAAAGAAATTCAATTTTAAATGATAAGGGTGAATTTGTAGAACATTTTATTCCCCACCCTTCCACACAGTCTCGGACACACTGCATGGTCAGTTTGTAGATCTCATTGGCTGCTGGCACCAGGATGATCTCAGGAGCGGACAGCATGGCATCAATCTGGAACAGGGGCTTGTCTGTGATCATGGCGTTGTTGAATTCAATCAGATTGCGGGATATCAGCTGTAGGCCAGACAGGAAATCATCAATAATATGCTCTCAGAGCTCGTTTCCCGAAGTAACTTATTGGTTAAAGAAATACTTTAACAAGCAAAAGGACTAACGCTTCCATCTCAAGATCAACCCACGTTCAAAGAAAGAACTGCGAGTAGATAATCACCACAATTTTTTACAGATCAAAAGTCAATCCATTTCTTGTACTTGTTCAACCAATAAAATGATTCAGCATGTATCAGGTTATCATGTCTGTTCTAAAGTAAGCAGAGATTCTTAGCCGTAACAGATGCACAAAACAACATTAGCCACATTTCAAGCTATTATGTTACAAAGTTATGCATCCCTCTTTAACCAAAAGGTTGACCTATCCCCCCTCCACCAGTCTTGCCTAGGATACCCACCTTCTTCAGGGAGTCATACACCCTTCTCTCCCAGTAGGCATAGTAAGCCTGCAGCCTGGGTGATCTCCCGGTGTTAGTGTGGACCACCAGGCCTTCCATCTTGGTCAGGAGGGGTCCGATGGCGCGGTACTTGCGGGCGAGCTGCTCGAAGGTGTGCATGCGCTCTCGCTCAATGTGGTCAAAGTATTCCTGATCAAGAAAAGGTTTTTATTTAATGACATTCACTATGTCTTACTACACTGTCTTTAAACGAGCTGCAGAGCAAGTTTAACTAGTTTTCATCAGAATGTGCACAAAACAAGAGCATCTTTGAGTGACAGGGATGCATTAGGGTATTGGTGCATGATGGTAACGATGCACATAAATCTCTGGGTAACACAATGGCTTTTTAGTTTTGCCAAGAATGTACTTAAGTACAGCGTGCTGAAACTCTTCTTACTTTGGACTTCAAAGACTGGGACTGACACAGCATGAGATCTCTACTCTGAGTGCACTGTGAATATAACACAGCCAAACCAAAACTATGTATGTAACAGGCTTTGTCTGAGATAACATCTCGAGTTTGAGATTCAAGAACTCCCCGTTTTACCTTGCAACCAGGTAGAATTTCCCCTTCCATCTGACTGCCAGGTCCCTTGAAGAGATTTGCGTGCTCCACTGCCTTGAGCCTGGCATCAATGTCCTTGGCGTTCTTCTGGATTTGGTTGACTAGCGACTCAAACTTGGAGATGGCCTGTGGGTTTGTGAAAATTAATCAAAATATGACGACAGTGAATCAAACTATTCCAAACTCTGTCTTTGTGCTCATTCTGGTGAAGTATGTTGTTTCCCAGGTATCTACAACGTAATCTTGACTTTAAATCTGTCCATGTGGGAACCAGTCAGGAAGCTATTATGTACCTGTTCACAGCGGGTGATGTAGTCTGTGATACCAAGAGAGTTCCAGTTGAGACGTTTGTGTCCAGACTTCAAGGTGCGTCTGAGATCCTTCAGGTGTTCATCAAGCAGCTGGGTCTATAGATGTAAGAGGATTATCACACAGCCATTACATGAAGTCTTGGGTGTTGAACAGTGGCTAAGTACAAGAACTTGTGTAAGCTTGTGAGAAAAACTTGAGGCTTTGTACAAATCAACCGGCTCCGGCTATGACCAACGTACATGTCTATAGGAAGCCGCAAGCCAATGGCTTCCCACAGGCTCATGTTATTTTTAGCCACAACTTTTAGACATAGCTGTAATTCATGCACTTACTAGTTCTCAAGTTAAAGAATCAAGCTTTACATGCATACTGCTATTGGGGAGTCAGGTTGGCAAGTGGTTCTCTCCTCGCCATCCACGTCTAAGGCCCGGGTTTGATTCCTGGCTCAGTCCACATGAGGATTCCGTGGGTTTTCCTCCCACCTCTAAAACTACAACTGCTTCTTTTTGTCTCCTCTCTCTTGACAGGAAGACGTGGGTCATTTGGGGGCTGCCTGAGGCACCCTTTAGTATGCAATTGGCTCGACCACGTATGAAATTTGTGCTTTATAAATGAATAAATGATTAAATTTTGACAGATAAACAAAATGTTGCACTTGTGGAACACAGCTTGATGAAAGGGAGAGGTAGGGCTGGGTAAATGGGGGGGGAGGCTGGATTGAGGGGGAATGAATTCCTAAATGCTTACCTCAGCATTGTTAATGGAATTGATGGCTGAGTGATACCTTCCCAGCATATGTCGCAGTCCGTCATTCCACCGAAGGTATTTATCTTCCTGAAGATCATAAAAATACACAAGATAACTTACATTCACTTCAAACCAAGGTCAGACAGATCACACTTGGCCAATGAATTTAGACTGACATTAATTTATTTTTCTTTGCTTTTCATCTTTCAAAAGGAAAAGTCCTTGATAGGTATAAAAAATATGAGCTTGACGGAAAAAATAAATGAGGAAATTAGCTTGAAACCAGCGTTGTAATTGACACTAGTACAAGACCATGACAAGACCAATACTAGACCACCAGAGAGAGATCAAGTCAAAAGCTTTCAAATGAATTGCAACAAAAGCATTCCAATGTCACTATCCACCGTTACCCGTGACTGGTCATGTGACTGGTCTTGTGACCGGTCTCAACTATAACACTGATACTAACCTGAAGAGCCACATTGCGGGCCAGCTCTGGTATCGAGAAGCCTAGCTGTTCCATGTACTTGGTCTCTACTATGATCTCAGACAGCTCTGGAGCAAAGTCTACCATGTACTTCACATCTGCGCCTGGGTTCAAAAGATAATCATTTTTTGATAAATCTGACAGGTCTATTACGTACTTCCAAACAGAAGGTATCAGAAATACAAAGCATAAAATAGAATACTCACAAACATCAAACCAAATAAATTTGCTTAGCAGACAGAAAATGTTTGTTAAGTAGAAGTTGCCTGACAGAATGTTGTAAGATTGATCTTGTTTTGTATGGGGAATTGAATTAAGTTTTTGACTTGCAATAATCGAACCTCTGGGAAACCTTATTGGTTGGAATTTCAAATCTGCACAAGAAATTGCAACTCTCTCCTTGTCTGTTTTTGCCCTCCCAAAATACTGCTAAGCAGAACGGTTAATCATTCTGTTCCAAATTTTCAAGGGATATCAAGGGATGCATTTTAGCAAAAATACTCGACCAAAGATCAGCTACTGGGAGGAGATATTGGACTATGTCCAAATATTCTGGCAGTGGCTTTAAATAACATGGATGTCTATGGAAGCCACTGTTCTAAAGGCTGTGGCCACTTGCCATGGACATGTGTGTTACACTCAGCCGTAGCCATTGATGAAAAATCCAAGAGGTCCCACTGGTCGGAGATTCTTACTAAGCATGGCATGATTGCTGGCTGAGCTTCCTCCGTTCCCGTCGGCGTCATTGTGCGTGATGGCGACGACTGCCGTTGAGGGCGCTGGCTTGGTGAGTAGGTTCCTTTTGAGGAGGCTAGGGAGGATGCCCTCCACGTACTCCCGCCATTGCTCGTACTTCTTCTCCTCGTACTCCCGCATCTGTCTGGCTACACCCAGATACTTGCTCCTCGCCTTCAAGGAAATAAGACTTACGATTACTGAACATGCCAATCCTTAATGATTTATCCAAACCGAAGTAAGTAGGCCTAAATTAATTGACGAGATCTGTTAACCTCTACAATCATAAACGGCAAATTTGATAATTTTTGACCCACATTAAGGCACGGAAGCGAACTAGAATGTGAAACTGTGATATCAGATCAGGTATTTGTGCTGCCAATTTGCAAAAGTTGAATGCATTGGGACTTGAGTGAATTTCACTGAAAATGTTTGCTTTTGCCTTCGCCTAATGCATGAACTAGCCTTCCGATGATAAGGTTAATGAATGAATAAGTTCCATGATTCTAGATAGAGCAAATATCTAGGTCTTGCTCAAACCTAAAAGCATATTCTCTGACACCTGCCAAACCATTTTCAATGACTTTCTACCGTGCTGAATCCTCCAAATTCATGCAAGACTAGATTTCACCAAATTCTGGGTGGTTGGAGTTTAACCTTATATACTCTGAGATTCGTCAAGATCCATCTGGAGGTTTGGGAGAATTTTGTAGGGTTGTGGAAGGTAGAACCCGGCCTACTTTACATGGGGCTTGATGGCCTTTGAAAGTAGAAGTACAGAGAATGTGCCATTGGTGTCCTGCACAGTGGAGGATTTTGTAGGATTGTGGAAGGAGTGCAGGATTTAGGAAATGAGTTTCTGTGAAGCATTCCAGGACGTACCGCCTTTCCGTACTCGCTGTGCAGAAGATCCTCCATGGACTGGAAACGGATGATGGTGTGCTTGATACGATAGAAAAGGGAACGCTCCCAAGCAATAGCGCCCCCTACAGGTGGCTGGTTCTTGGAGACAGGCGGGTTGTCCTGATGTTGCTTGAACAAGGCATTGACCGTATCCACCTGGGGAAGAATGACCATAAATAACGACTACTTATCACCATGGAAACAAATCATATTTGCGACAACTATATATTTCGGGGAGTACTCTTATTCTGCACAGTAATAAATTAGCCTGAATGCAAAAGCTTCAACTATATGGATCCAACTCTTTTGCAAACTTTGCTTGTTTCAGAATATTTTAGTGAACAATTCAGTAAGCAAATAAATCACCCACCCTTAAGATTTACATGATTTCTGACAAACTCGTAAGCAGCATGTATGACAGATTTGATTTTCACATCTAGTTATTTCTTTGGTTTACGGCAACACAGCTCACACTTTCATCAAACAAGACACTTTCAAGATTAGAAATAGACAATGCCCTTTGCAATTCATCTAAGCAAATGTCTGTGACGTGAACGATTTTACCCTGGGTAAAAGACCTCTCAGCAGAAAAGTAGCATATCGTCATGCCTACCTCTTTCCCATACTGCACCAGAATGTCATTGAATTTCTTCATCATCTGCGAGTTGATGGCCTCCCGCGAGCGGATGTTCTGGAACTTCAGTAGCATGTCGAAGGCGCCTTCAGCCGAGCGCAGCGTCTTGAAGGACTCATTGATGAAGTGCTTGGCTTCCTCCTCGATGGCCGCCACCTCCTTGTTAAACCACTCCATCACCTTGCGCCATTGGAGTTGGTGCTTCAGGCCAAAGGGGTCAAAGCTCACCTGGGGTCAGAGGTCAAAGGGTAGATTGGAATAAGTGCTGATCAACCCTTGATCCTATCTCAGCAGGTATGTGGCCTAGTGGTTAAAGTTTGTGACTCAGGAACGTGGGGCTGGGGGTTCGAATAAATTGGGGCCTTGGGCAAGTCACTTTACTCCCATTTGTGTCTCTCTGCCCAAGAGTATGAATGAAAAAAAAATATGCCTATGACAAGGTTCATATTCTCAACACCCCCCAAAAAACCACGACTTTTAATGAATTTTATGGTCCATTTTCAAAGACTTTTAATGACTTCCATAATCAATCTCAGGGCTTCAACATAACAGTAATAACTGTCTGTGATTCGCAGATTGGCGCACTTAACGCAAAGTATTAAAACGTGTCTTGAAAGACACGACACAATTATAAATTAGAAGATGTAAGGAGGTGAACATGTAATGACTTTAATGACTTTCTACAAACATTTAATGACTTTTCCAGGAATTTCATAACCACAATAAATTTAAAGATTTTGAAGGAACGTAATGACCGCTACGAACCCTGTATGAGGAAATAAGCAGGGTTACTAACAAGAGGCACCTTGTAACCTCTGGCACTGAAAACACAGTCATTACTATTCTCATCCAGCCGGTCAGAAAATCTCGCTTACCAAATTTATGTGCTAAGCAAAAAAAAAGCAGAACATCATTCATAAAGACCATACACTCTGTGCCCTTATAACCGGTAACCCAGGCCCCATCTTTCTGAGAAAATAAATTTTGATGCGGTCGGTTGGAATACTGCTGGGGAGTCTGACTCCAAGTTTTCTGGCAAATGATTATGGAGGGGACAGTGCAGTGTTTTCATGGTTTTATAGCAAGAATCCAAGTCGAGATAGGCACATGAAGTTGAGTGAAAACAGGAGGTTGAAGGCAAACGAAAGTGGTAGACAAAAAAATTCTGGGTTGAGATCAGGATAGGAGAGAAAACAAAGTAGCACTCACGTCTTGAATGGGCTCCACAAGTCCATCCACTCTCTTGAGAACATCTTCGATGCGTTGAGGATCACCGGTGACCGACTTCAACTCGGGGCCAAAGATGTGGTAGAACTCTTGCAAGACCTGCAAAACAGACGGAAATAAACTCAGGCAAATGGCAACAACTCTCAAGAAACAATTTGACCAAGGCTTTGCTGAGTTATTTTTTGGATTGCTGCAACGAGGTTGTAAATACAAGGAGAGAAGTGTAAAGAACATATTTGTACAAGAATACATGGCTCAAAAAATTTGGAGCGGTAATGTGACCACATCTAGATGGTACTTTCTGCTTACAACCATGACGTTACTTGTGAAATTCACAAGCAGGAAAAGAGATTCCTGGGCCAAAAGGACCCTAACTGGACACGAGCATTGATCTTGATTGTTTTCTGCCAAACTTCGCCAAGCACGATTTGGAAGTGCAATGCTTCCAGAAAGTGGAAATGTATTTGCCACTCGTCAAAAACGAAAGATGGAACTTGTCCTGTTTCATCATTTATGTCAGGTTTGGCTTATCCTACCTGTGCCACGTCGTAGATGTCCTGGCAGATTGTGGCCATGTAATCTGTCCTCTCAAAGAGACGCTTGCGGTCAAACTCCCATCTGGCATCTCGCCCCGACGCCTCAATCTTCGCCCGCACCTCAAAGTAGGATTCCTTCCACAACTCCAGGGTTTTCTTGGCTTCCAACGTCCTTGCTTTAATCTGAGACGGTGTTTCCCTGTCAAGCAAAACAAAAAGAAATTCAAAATATAAATTCAAAGAAAAACTATATTCATCATATCCACTTTAACTGTAGAACAAAAAAGGTTCAAATATTACAATAAAAAGCTCTCTTTGTCTTTTTAAATGCACTTTCTCCCATATCTTTTAAATGACTTTTTTAGTTTTCTTAATTTAACATGTTTAATGATTGTTGGGTTTGTCTTTAATCTCACCTCAGCTTTTTTTTTTAAAGAATGCACATTCCATTTATGTCAGGGACTTGGACCGATATCATCTTCATGACATCAGTCTTAGTTGGCTTGCTGAAACATTAATCGATGGCACAAATCCTCACTGATATGAACTACTTACTTGAATATGGTTCTGATGTTGATGACCTTGGCAACTCTCTCGGCCAGCTCCCATGCGATACGTTCCATCAGGGGCACCATTCGCTCATCTCGGTTGTAGTGCCTGGATATGATCCACACCATCCGGAGAGCGTTCATCATGGATGGTAGGGTGTCCAAAACAATTTGGAAGCCCGCTCCGTGGGTGACGTTTTTGAAGTGTCTTTCCAGAGTGCTGAGGAATCGGACGTTATCCTTGGCTTCGACGTGGTATTTGTTCAGCTCCGAGCGGTTGAGTTCGAAGCTCTGGAGGACAGCGTGATCTCCCATAGTGTCTCTCTTGGCTAGAATCTCCAGCATCTTCTTAACGGTGTGGAGTTTGAGCTGCTCAGAGAGGGCACTCAGCGCTGCATTGCGCTCCCGCCAGAAGTCGATCTCGGCCAAGGGGCCGTCTCCCTGCGGGGTCTTCTTGAGCTGGACCTCCAAGGCGCTGGCAATCTGTTTGGTCCACTCCAGGCAGGCCGTCTCAATCTTGTGGACCAGGATGTCGTCTTTGGTGAGCTCAGCCACATCGCCATCCAGGTTTAGATGGGGCACGTCCAGTCGTACCTCCCCCTCGATCTGCTGGATGGTACGGCTGATGTGGGTGGCAAACTTCTGCATATTGATGAGGAACTCGTCGCGAAGCATGGCCCGGTGCTGGGACTCCACCAACTTCTGCTGCTGTGTGACGTCCTCGTCTTCATCCTCCTCATCCATGTCATCCTGGGAAGTGGAAGAGAGAGCAGCTTGCTGCTCACCGGCCGTAGGGGCCTCGCCGTTCTTGTGTGAATTGAACGACAACAACGGGATGTAGACCTGTCATGAAAATTAGGGGAGCAAAAGTAATGGTTTAAATAAATGCTGAATCTTTAATTATGAACACAGTTCAACATCTCAAAGAAAACAATTTATATTTCAGAAATTTGGCTCTTCCAAAATTAAAGACAATGAGTTAAACAATCCAGAGAGATCAAAAGACTTCCTGATCAGTTGTGTTATAATAATACAGCTGATGTTCATTAGCAGAGCTACACCAATTCTTGTTTTTTTAACACATAATAAACACTTTCCTCCCTGACAATCGAAAGAATTTATACCAAGTTAACACAACCTCCCTACACAGTTTGCAAATAAGCTTCTAAGATTTTCATGACCGATTTATAAAAAAAACCACAATCTAATTCATCAAAGTAACTCTTCCAGGATTTTTCTCTGCAAGGTTGTTTGGAAAGGATGTCAAAACAATCTGGTCATCTCAGTAGCTAAAACCTTTTGACACGATGAACATCTCTGTATATTCTCTTATTTTCGATGTAGCACGGGGTCCTCTTATTTTTTCCAAATACTCGTTCCTAATTCAAACAAACTGCCTGACCTGCATGATGACTTGCTCCAGCATGGTCAGAGAGCTGCCGTTCAGCACCCCAAACTCAAAGAACTGCGGCAGGCTGGTGTTGGCCTCTTCCAGGCTGTTGGGCAGCTCAACCATGCCCGGCGTGTTGCGTAGGAAGTACACGCAGTCGTTGTTGCACACCTCCTCAGGCACCGTGCCGTGGCACATGTGAAGCAGCGTCCGCTCAATGGTCTGCTTGACGATTTTCTGGAAAATTTTACAGGAAAAATGCTGAGGAGTTATAGATTGATCTACTTTTTGGAATACCCATCTGGGGTTTCTAGGTGGACATCAGGTGGTAATTTACTAATTTACTAAAGCAGCTACAGCAAGACATTATGTACTTATGAACTAAAGAAAGCATTACACACCAGTGCTAAACTTGTTTCCAGCCTCTTCCATTATTTCCTAGATCTTTATGGAGAGCACGGACAGCAGTTTTCCAGTAAGGAGACTTATCGCTGTTTCATGTGCGTAAGTGTTAATTTTTCTGATTCTTATGCAATTCAGAGTGCCCTACTGTGATTCAGCATTTCAGATCATGCACAATCCATGAGCACAAAAATCTTCTCGATATACATCCGCTGGGCGAAAAACTGTCACCAGCCAAAATGATGAACAAATTGCATCTCTTGTGACTGCGTCATTGTTGAGCTTTGCAGTTGCTGGTACAGAAAGGCTCTACAAAATTGGCCAAACCATTTGAACATTTACAACTGGTCGGTAACTCAAAAGACGAGCACCTCAGTAAACTGAAGGTAAGCTACGATCTACAGTCCCACAAGATCTACACACCATCTGCGGTACTCTCTCTGGCGAGGGCGCTATAACTCCATCAATGCCTTCCTCCGGTTTGATCTCCTCTGGTTCCTTAGGCTCCTCCTTTGGTGGTTCCTCTTCCACTTTGGCTGAGGACACGCCCTTCTTGCCTTTCTTCTTTTTCTTTTCTGCAAAGAGGCGTCAAATGGGAGTGTAACCATGCTTCAGGAAACATTGGCATAGCAACACTGCACACTGATCAGCAGACGTGAGGGCACACTTCAAAGCATCACTGAGAGATGAGTTAGGTCAGAAAATTTACTTGCTGAGTCAAGTTGAAAGCATATTGTAGCTTTGTAAACGAAGGGCTGGCTAGGGTTATATTCTCAACAAAGCAAAGCCTTCTCAAAAACGCATGCATAAGGTTTAACCATGCTTCTCTGTTACTGACCAACACATCGCTTTCATGGAGGAAATGGTAATTTCAAAAAGTTCATTTGAGATTAACACCTGTGCTCAGAAATACCCAGCAGAGAATGTTTGAAAAGCTCTTACGCTGTGTCTAAATGAGTTAACTACATGCACTGTCAGGAATAATATATGCACTTCTTAGTGGCTTCCATCGAGGTGTGTATGACTGCAAGCCATGGCTTGGTAATTCAAAGGTTGCCTTACTTTTCCCCTTTTCTTCTTCCACAGGTGTTTCGGCCACAGCTGGGGTCACAGTGGCCTCAGTCAGCATGCCATCTTGTGCAGATGTAATTCCATCGATTCCTTCTCCTCCTTCGACATTCTCATCATTGAGAGCTTCCAGGGTTGGATCAAGCTCTGATGGCTCTGCAGAAATAGAGAAGTTTTGATAATAACCATTGTACAAAAGTTCACACTTGATCCCACAAAGTAAGTGTTTAGCGCTGTCTTTTTTCAGTATTTTGTTTTAGTTAGTAAAAAAACTAATGGAAATTAATGTTGATGTGTTGATTATTCAATTAAATTTTGGAAAGAATTCCATAAAAGGACACCGCTCGACACCCAGTGCACAAACCCAATAAAACTTGTCTGAAAATTTTCAAGTATTTTCTATTTGAATATCTCAATATTTTCACTGGTTAATTTGACTTTTTGGGCATACTTAGCTTTCAGGCAGCACCAGTATGTGAAATTCTTTACAAATTTTCCATTAATCAAAAACATGTTCAATTAAGCAAAATCACAAACTAGGCATGACTCAGTCAATTCAGAAATTCCACGGATGTAGTACTACTTCAATGGGGCGGCGAGGACATCTACGACTTTCGCAAAATGGCAAGTAGTAACCAATGAAAACAGTGAACGTTTCTGCAATTGTTTCAGTAGCATGTTAACAGTAAACTTGCTGATAACGCACCAATTTCCACTTCAACTTCGATCTCTTCCTCTTGTAATCTCTTGTAGAAGATGGCAGCTGACTTTCCCTCTTCGGGAGTTTCGTTGAGGAACTTTGCCAAGGCTCTCTCGTATTCGCCATCATCCCGATTCAAAAGTTCCTCAAAAACTTCAGGGTCTGTGATGTTTAGCGCACAGTAGACCTTGTCACGGAGCCACTCAAATCTTACGTCATCCATATCTAATTCAGGCGTTACTTGGTATTCATAATGAGCTGGGAGACAGAAATTTCATTTGATTTTTGCAAAGTTTATCATTCACATCCAGATCCCCTGGAGGCGGCCATCTTGGTTTTGAGTTTACGTTACAGCCGCATCACAGCTAAATGGTCCCTTTACTGATTGATTGAAAATAAGTGCACACGATAAATAGATTTTATTAACAGATGCAGATTTTTAATGAAGATGGAATCAATTGATTCTATGTGTTTATCTTTGGAAAAGTTTTATCTTGTTGTGTGATTGGTAAATTTGGTTTGAACAGCGGAATGCGTATAAATATAATTTTGATATAAGATGTAAACCGGTCACATAGTTTTAGATACGGTTGCTGTTGCTAAGGCCCGCTTCTGAGCAAACCACGGGATTATTATGATTGACCAAGATATTATGATCACCCAAATGACATTTAAAGTAAACTGCAATAGCACTGGGTGCTGTTAATTGATATCTTTGCAGTAAATAGTGTGTTATTTTGCTGGATCTGAAATCACGTCATTTATCGCGAGAACTAGAAGCGCGCCGATTCAAGAAATGACTTGTGTTTTACAGCCACTTCGTCCATTTACCATTGTACCCATTTGCCACTTTGCCCATTTAGCACTTCACCCATTTGCCACTTCGCCCACCGTGCCACAATACGCATGCCCTAATTTCACAAGCACGTACGCCCGTATTTAATCGACAAATCCCCGCATCCTTCAAACTGATTATTACTTGCTATTTTTTAGATACAATAATCATAACATCAAGACTCATGCACATTTTAAGTATTTCAAAAGCATTGTTTCTGTTTACATCAAAGAATTAAAACCTTGACATTCTCTATATCCACCCTATCATAATGTTGTTTTTGATGTTTTTATCTTTCCTGGCATTCAAAGTGGGTTGGGTAATTGTTTTAATTTGTCCTCCTCTGAGCTAGTCCTCTCTTTAATTTTGAGCGGCTGTGCATGTGGGCGAAGTGGCGCATGGGAGAAGGGAGAAGTGGCATGTGGGCGAAGTGGCAAATGGGCGAAGTGGCAAATGGGTGAAGTGGTTGTGGGCGAAGTGGTAAATGGTGAAATGATCGACACCGGTTGTTAGTCTTGGCTGCAGTCTTTTTGGAATATATAGATCTGATATTTAATTACTGCTAATTGCATAGGCTGCGCCTGTACTTAAAGATACAAAAATGCAGGATTGTACAACTGCTTTGTGTAGAATCGTGTGTAACGTTCCACTACCTGCGTACCGCATTCACTTATCCCGGCAACATATATCTCACATGTAAAGGTTGACCGGTCTTTGTAGGGCCTATGAGTAGTACTAGAGAAATGAGAGAGCTAGGACAACCTCAAAAATTGAAAATTTCTTCCTCTCCAAAAAATGTTTAAAATCCCAAAATTCCCGAACCCCCAAAACCATGTCAATAATTTTTGCCAACCAATTTGAATACGTAAAATTAGTCGCAGCCCACGCCGCCTGGTTATTCACTCCGACCCACAGCCGTGAAAGAAGACCTCATACTTTAAGCGAAAAAGGGCGTCCGACGCCGGCAGCATCGCACCTGCTTGGTGCAGGAAACGATCGAAGCACGGTCCTAAATGTTATCGCCCTTATCAGATATTTATCCCTAATTATTTACTTTGATTGTAGTGGGTTAATATATTGAAAAGCATCAAAATCACCAAAATCAAAAATCGAGATGCCAGACCAACAAAACTCTAAAACCAATGTCAACTGTAACTTTTGCAAAAATACATTTCATTCAGTTGATGTGACAGACGCTTGTAATTCTAGAACTTGTTTAAACTCTAATCATATCCATAAATTATGTAACGATCGATTTGTGACAAAAATCACTCAGCCTTCGAACTAATTCCAAAAATTAGTCAAATGACTCTTACTGTAGAAATTGCTCTTCGTTAGGAACACATTCTTGACATTTTTTAGTCGTGGTAGCACTTACCGACTTTTCAGGGACAGGACACACCCCAGATAATTGTAAAAAGGCTTAAAAGTATCTTTCAGTGATGATTAATTTCCTTAACCCTATGTGCAGTGCACGTGTGCAGTGGGCGTGGTTTAAACTGAAGTGACGTCACATTTATGAACCGGATACTGCCAGAAATCTACAAAAGGCGTGTGCAACCAGCATTCGGGTGGCTCCGTTCTTACGAACGAGTCCCGCGTGCAGAAGGAACGGCTTGCAAGTGCCGTGTGTGCAAGGCTGACCAGCGCTGCGTATGAAGTCGGCATCAAAGAATTGCCGTGAAAATAATTATAATCAGTCGGAAGAGAAGTGCCGTGAAGTTTATTATTGGTTAGCGTCATTCAAGATCAGCGTAACAGCTAGTTTTCACAAGTGAATTTTGACCAGCCGGCCCAGCCTAATTACCGAAGCACGAAACAACAATTTGTCCTGCAGACCAGCCTACCAGAATGCGTAATAGGCTTGTTGCAGCGACCTGACTCACTCTTTCTGACCACCGAGTTGGGTGAACTAAATGTAAAAAAAATCTTTTGACGTAAATATGATAGAGACACCCAAGGGATTTCCGAAATAAATGAGATAATTTTCAGTTGTGTTCTGAATACAGAAGCTGTTTCCTCGAGTAATTCTCTTCATGGTCCGTTACTCATTCATGCGTGCGCCTGCGCATTTTTATTAGTTGACTGCTATTTCTTCTGGTGGCGAAACCTTCCTGGTGAGCCTGGACTGCCTCAATCCCTCCCCCAACCCTTTGACCCCGCATAATTAGGAAAGTTGTTTGACATTTTGGATTTCTCCCCCTCTCCCTCTTTCGTCCCCGCCCTTCCCCCATCGGCTGACTGTGACTGAGACTACAGGCAGCAGGTAAGACAGCCGTAAGTATACGGTGGGTATATTCGCCAAGTTCTCATCATTCTATGACTCAATTGGCCCCCTCACCCGTTACATTATGTATAGAATGTAACTTTTGCAAATCTCGCGGCGAATGCGAAACTTGTGCAGAACATTGTAATAACTGCGATGGTTACGGTAATTGCATGGGCTGTGTCGATTGCATAGGCTAGATAGCATCCATTGTTGCAATTGTGATAATTATGACAGCCGTTAGTTGTAGGCCTAGCAGTTGTGATCATTGTATCGAATGCGATAACTGTACTGATTGTAATTACTGCACCAACTACAAAATTTTAGCTGCTATATCGTTTATAGTTTTATTTATATACGACAGTAACAGTAGATACGGTTCTTATAAAAGGATGAGATTTAAAAAAGAAGATGATCCCGATCCCATCTTTGAAACTGACCTAAAAGTAGATATTAGGCTTAATAATTGAATATGATGAAGATATAGACATAGACGTGATTCTTGCAGCAGTTTTGGGGGTTTGGTTAGGTCTTTGGAGTCTAATTTTAGCTGCAGCTCTTTTAGCGCAACATCATCGGAGGCCTTAGAGATGGCATTGAATTTGCAGTTGAAATACTCCTTGAATTTTTTCGAAAATTGTAGTTGGATCCACCGATAAGTCTGAAGGATTCGACATGTTAAAACCAAAAACAAGATAAATTGTACTAGAATAGTGGATTGCAAGTCGAAAGTGACACTCGGTGGGTGCAAGATCTGAATGAGAATACGAGTGGTACACACGCTTTAAATACATGATACGCCTCAACAATCCACAAAGAGGAGCCACAAAGGGGTAGCGAGAATTCCTACCATCTAATTATAGAATGCAGATATTAGAACAACTTCACGTATGGCCCCACAAACAAATAAAACTAAATAGTCATTTAACTCAAAAAACATGAAAACATCATCACATTCCACATGCAAACCAAACCAACCAAGGTTAACCAAATTTATATCGTAACCGAAGACCACTTCCGCCTCATTGCCGACAACACAGACCCAACCGTCGATCGTAAACGGCCCATTTGATCCAGACAGACTCGAGATGGCAGACCCCGTGGTAAAAAAGAGCGAACATACGCAACATTATTGTTGATCATGATACCCAAAACAATCTGCTATGGCGTAAATCCAGTCTATAAATTTGGTGCCAAAGAAACTACTCCCGAAAAATCGTTGGACATCAAATCTGCTATGAACTTCAAGAGCAAACGATTGATATACTCGACCGCATAAACTTTGCTGCTTACAAATACATCGGCACGCAAACGACTAAAACTGACATTCCACCAAATTCGATAAACGCTTACAGGTTGAATTTGTGGGATAAGAAACGCATGTAGGCCTAAGTCAAGTTACAAACCACGACTACGCTGTTTGACGGTCGTAAAAATCAAATATCGCAAGAGCAACTCGACCATTGTCGATAAACGTTGCGACGTGCTTTCGTTGGTTTGTCCCAAAGATGTCTATTACGGCACACATGGATCTTTGTCTTGCGACGCCAGCGTTAGATATAAAGTCGAAAAAGCCATTTTAAAGATTAACAACGTCACTGTCATTTCGGATAAAACAGCATTGCAATTGTTACAAGGATTTGACAGCACCAGCAGCGACACAGAGTAACTAACACGTATTAAAGATTTGATTGTAAGCCTCGTTATCTTTGGGATAACGAGGTTATTTTATGTCAGACTTAAATAAATATATATTGTATTAAGAAGACACTTGTAAACACGTCAATAAAAGAAAAAAAGACGAATTTGTTAATTGTAACGATTGTTTTAAAAACTTACACCCTTATACAGACTTTGAAGTGGAAAACGTAGGAGGCCTATACAATCAGCGGTTTGTTTATAAAAGGCCAACATCTAAAACAAACAAAGTGCTAAAACAACTAGACATTAAATTGGCAGAAGAGCGGCGAGCCTCATAGAAAACAAACTAAACCAAATTTTACAAGGCAAGATCTCCAGGGGCCAAGTACTTCGTGCTATCGTCGCAGTGTGTTATCAAGACGTGATGAAAGAAACGTCAGACAAAGTCAGGGACCTGTTTCAAGTCTCTGAAAAAACACTGGAGCGACTCCGTAAGGAAATTTAGTATATTATAAAAACACGTCGAATCAGATTGAAACACACACTTTTTATTTGACCGAAAGTGAGCTGATTTTTAAATTGAAACACGTCATCACT